AGTCGATTAATATTTTTATTGTTGTTTATTATTTGACTGATCGCGAAGTAAAAGTGATTTATTCTGTTTAAATTTTAAAAACTTACAAATTAGTTTTAGAAATCAGCATCTTTTTTTCTTAATACCAAGGATGGAAATGTTTCAAAGGAATTGTCAGGATGTATGCAATAAATTACAATAAAATGAAGACTTGGACGAATGTTTTTATTTTTAAAAGTCACTATCCAAATAGTACAGATATCCTCAAGACATCCTGGATTTCTCGAAAACGACTTGTGTTATGTGAAAATACTATTGATTATGAAATAAAATTAACTTAGTATACTTAGCTCGAAGGTAACTGTCTTTTTCAGACATTTTCTTTGCTTCATCGAATAATTTTATGTTAACATATAATTCAATTATATAATTACAAAGTTGGGTCCGATGATTATCAAATATCTCTTGGCTCAAAACATGTTTGTTCATGATCTCATTATCAAATGGAGTGCCTAGTTGACTAAATATCTTATTTACTATGATTGTTTTAATATTTCGACTCAACAATGCGTGGGAGTACTGGCGAAATATTCTTTCTGAAACTTTGCAAATTGAAATAACGTCTTTTGATGGAATAACGAAAGGACCCCTATTTTTTAATTTTGACAAAAGTGGCATACTTTCACCCAGTAATTGTTCTTTGCATATGGGACAATCTATGATAGACATAAGTTTATGCGATACAAACCCCGAAATATAACAAACAACTTCTTCTACAAATGTTGATAATGCAAAACATGTAGAGACATAATCATGGTCGAATTCTGTCGTACTTTGTAGCATGTCGGGGTTACCAATTGGGCATTTTATATTGTCTTTTCTTGAGGAAACGTGTAAAATTTCGACATTATCAAAAAGACAATTGCCATTTTGAAATTCTTTAATTTCATGTCTCACCAACAAACGTTTGTAAGAAGTTTGAAATTGCAGAGCGTTTGGATTGTTGTTGAAACCGTTACGGCCTCTAATGGCTGAGAAAAACGTTTCTAAATAGTCCTGTGACAACTTATAGGTGAGCAAATATGTTAAGTCCAAGGATTTGAATTTGTCAAAAAGAGGAAATATATTTCGCAGACATACAATTATACCTAAAAAGCCAGTCTTACGTTGCGTCTTCAAAATAGGCGTTCCCTTGTCATCGGTCAAATTAACGATATATTTTTCAAAAATTTCGGCATGAATTTTCAATCGTGAGTAATTGCTATCCATCAGTGGGCAATTAAATTCTTGTTTTGAAAATCTATTTTTGCAGTTAAGCATGTCCGACATGTCATTAAAATTTTGACAAAATTGCGCAGTGGCAGCAGATTTGGAAAAATTTTCTTGAATTTTTTTATCTGGCAATTGGCTTACAAAAATTAAAGACTTGCTTACGCTTTCACTTAGGGTTTGCATCGCTAACTTCACGTTCATTTTATTGTTCTTATAGTGTATGTGTTTCTTCGTTAATTTATTGCCAGCTCTAATACCTTCGTCGCGCTGCAATTTATATAATTGTTGAATATAATACCAAAGAATTTTCTCTTTGTTTACAGTCCCTATAATTTCGCAATCTCCTAGTGTATTTCGAACTAATTTAATCATATGGCACAAATCCAAAAACACATAACAAGGCTCCATTGTAATCGGATTTGTGAAATATGGTTTAAAATTCGATCCATATTCGAAATTGGCGCCAAGTACTTCGCACATTCTTAAGTTACTAGACGCTCCATCAAAAGTCACAGAATACACGCTACAATTATGTGAATGCAAAGTTTCAAGTGCTAATTTTAGTAGATTTGCACGTTCAACGCTGTTCAATCCTCCAACAAGAAAATACCCTATCGGAACTTTCCAGCTTTCATTTTGTGACACTACCATGAACACTAATGCATTTGTAGCCTTAATCGGGTTATCGTTTTTGCAAGACTTATTTCCCTGTGCGTCTTCGAAATTACCGAAATCGATGCCACCGTAATACTGCCCACTATATTTATTGTATATAACTTCCTGTTTAATAGACATTTCGTCGATAACAAGATTTACAACGATTTTTTTTTCCGAAGCTCGCACAGCAATTGCTTGCAATGCTTCTTTTGTAAAACCGGGTGATCCATCGACCACCTGGTACCACGCTCTTATTGTTGATGGATGTGGAAGAATTCTTTTTCCCCACATTTTTCTTATATAATTATACGCTTTTGGCGAATAAAAATGTAGAGTTAATGCGAAGCTGCGAACCTCCTCGGAATACTTTCCTCGACGTTTCTGCAGTAACTTAGCTAACATATTTTTCATTTCATCAGACATCATACTCTATGAAAATGAAAATCAAGAAAAGACAATTGTAATAAACTTTCCAGGTCTTTAAAATTGTCAAACGATAAACCTGAGAATATACGTATAGCTAAAGATAAATAGCTATGCGTATTTAATAAAAATACAATGTTATCTACAATGATCTGTTCACAGATTATAAGAGTATATAATCTAGTTCTATTCCATCTAACAGTTACTACGTTTACGCGAGCGTTATTACTTCTATAGTAACTTACGATAATTCCTTCGCGTAAACGGGATTTTGTAGTAACTTACGATAATTTACTCCGCGTAAACGAGTGAATTATCGTAAGTTACTACAGAAGTAACGCTCGCGTAAACGTAGTATACGACTACGATTTACGCCGATCAAGATGTTCCAACATCGATGCTATAACTTGATCGGCGTAAATTGGGCCGTGTAAGGGCTCAGACACAATGAGAAAAATAAGGAATAAGATAAAGGAATAAGGAATAAGGGAACTTCAGTACACATACATTAAAGTGAGATGCAACATGCCTTATTCCTTATTTCTTTATCTTATTCCTTACTTTTCTCATTGTGTCTAAGCCCTAAACGTAAAATTAGAAGCATCTTTTATATACAATTGCAATAATCGGAATGTGATTTGAATGGGATTATGTTACCGTTAATGAATCTCCTGCTTCGTGGGACATCAATCCTTTATCATGTAAATGTTTAATCATATCTTTTAAAGAGGTGATACGTTTCCTCTGATTTCTGTTGATGTTTTGCAAGTATTTAATTTTTTTTAACCTCTCTTGCTCCTTGTCTTTTATGAACTTTAAAGTTCGTCGAGCTCTTCTTGGAGTGGCAAAATCAGGTGAAGTGATTTCTGAGATATAGCGTGGTTGATGAAATCGACGCTTCTTAGGAGTATTAACGTAATTTTCATCAGAACCTAAGTAAAACAAGCTTATAATTAAAAAAAAAAAAAAAAACAAGCACATGATTCTGAACTGTTGGATTTATTGAAAATAATAAATAAATGACTTACAATTACGTTTAGATTGATCGGTTTCTATCGAGTTCTGTTGGAATTCTTTCAATTCAAGATTCTGTTGGAAGGAAGGCTCACAGTCAGCTGATGAAGAAAAATCAACTGTATCCATATGTTCTACATCTTGAAGAATAGGCGCACAGTCCGTCGGTGATAAATAAGAGTCGACATTTAGTGATGTTACATTTTCTTCGATAATGTTGTCACTTGCTGGCACAACCTCAAATCGGGATGAATTCGGAATACATATTGAAGGAACTGACCCAGGCTTTAGAACTATTCTTGAATTGCCAGCAACTTTCGTTATCTTCAAATTTTCAGAAACAAAATGAACTGAACAAATGTAAACATGAGATACATCATCTGCCTCGGTTAACCCACAAGCATCTTTCCATTTTTGACGAAGAGTTAGATTCTTTGGAAATCTGTAAAAAAACGATTAAAAAATTACAATTTTATGATAAAAAATTACAATTTTATGATAGAAATTGTAATTCTTATAATTTATGAAACTTACCCATGTACAGAAATGTATTCATTCTTTGATGGCTTACGATTGCACAAATAACAACTCTTAGACATTTTTATTAGATGATAATTCCAAATTGTATGTATGACAAATGTGTACATACAATGATACAATTTCCTGACTTTACTGACCAAATAACCTACAAATCACATAAGTTTCTACGCACTCCCACCCTCGGTTTCAACGCATGCGCACAACGCACAATTCGTCCGCTCTAGAGTGAGACACGAATATCGGTTTGCACCGTAATGTTGGCGAGCCTTCTCGAGGTCTATCAGCAATATAGAAGTATTACATATATGGGCCCGAGCGTTCGCTTTTCGACGCGAAGTTAGCCTCGTGCCGAGACCTCGTGGAACCTGACCAATCGGCAAAGACATCTCCTTGCCTCTTGTCGCAATTGGACAAAATTATGCCCGGAACATGGACCTCTCTTTCGAGCCCCCCTTCGTTTCG